TAAGCACAGGACGATAGTGGGGAGGGTAGACATGGAGGCCCCTGTAGTGGTAGGTTGCTCATAACACATAAATACAACGGTTTAGGGGTAAGAAGATCTCGATCCCTCCTCCTCCTCACTGTACGACTCAGGCTGCAACACACGCAGCGATGGGATTTTAATGGTTAGCAGTGTTAATGGAGTTACCATAGAGTACCTGTCGCAACGGTCCGACACACGCAGCAGCGCTACGCTAGTGTAATCGATATATGTCACGCACAGAGATTACTTATATTTGCATTGCTGATTATTTTTGTTCTGACAAAGAACGGATTCTCACAACGCTCATCTTAACAACAATCCAATACCAACAATCATATAACTTTTCCACGCGACTTCCACACAAGCCGAGTATGTGTGCAGCATGTGTGCGTGCATGAGACTGTTGTCCATTTCTGTATCAAATTAATTTTTGTCTGACTGCTTGTTAGAAAAAACTTGTATTAAAGCATTATCATGTAGCGAAAGACATCCCGTATTTATGCCATCATACAGAAAAAAACGACTTGGAGATAAAGCATGTCCACATCAGTTGCCACACAAAAACATTAATTTAACTTTACAATATGAGTACGTGACAAATAACTAAATTTGAAAGCAGAATGGCTACAAGCATACAAAAACACGCACACAACAAGTTGTTAGGTTGAATGGATGCACAATTTTTATTCCAAATTTTAACACAAACATGAGCACCACATTATTTCCTCATTGAAATTATCATAAAACAATGGACAATGCCGACGCCATTGCAAAGAAATAATTTTGTTTTTATGCTAATGAACATACAATCCACAGCCATGCGACTATTTCATGGTCCTGTTCGACCAAAATAGTAAATACGTCTAAACAAAGATCTATTACCGCCGTAGCGCGACACGCACGTAGGGACAAGCGTTTTGCATCGTACATGGCCGCAACGTATTCAATTCACGCACATCAACTCTACTCAATCGCTATCCGTGTCCGAATTGCGAAAACTTCGATACCTATTCCTCCTCTTCTGTCTCCTCGTCATAAACACGTCATATTTGATCCACGTACAATAACATCAACTATCGCTATCCATATACTACTCAATCGCTATCCGTGTCAGAATCACGAGATCTCGATTCCTCCTCCTCCTCCTCGTCGTGCGTCAGCTTCTTCGCCGCGACGATGGCGTCGATCTTCAGCAGCGACTCCACCGTTTCGATCACGCAGTACAGCAGCGCGCGTTTCCCGCTCACGCTCTCCAGGGGCAACTCCTCGTCTTCCCCCGCCTCCCTCGCGACTCCCGCCACGGCGTCGACGACCCTCGCTCGACCTCCCGCGCGGAAACCGTTCGTAATCTCCGTCTGAACATCGAGGAACCTCCCGTTGTTCGCGCGGTAGGAGTTCGCGAAGATCGTCCGGGGAACGGCGAGGAGAGCGTCGGCGAGGGCGGTGCACGCGAGCGCGAGGGACGGGTCGGACGCGACGCGGCGCGAGTAGTCATGCAGCAACGTCGCCAGCAGCAGCTCGTAGGCGCCCCCTGCCGGCACGAGCTGGGATCCCGGGTCGCCGTGGGTCGTCGTCGATGCGGCGGAGTCCGGAGGAGCGGAGGCAGGAGGGGCGGAGGATGTGGGAGGAGCGGAGGCGGGAGGGGCGGAGGATGTGGGAGGAGCGGAGGAGGCACGGGCCATGTCAGAGTCTGGAGCGGAGGCAGGAAGAGGAAGGGGGGCGGAGGCAGGAAGAGGAAGGGGGGCGGAGGAGGGAGAAGCGGAGGAGGGAGGAGTGGAGGAAGGAAGGGCTGCTGTCTCCTCGGATTCTAGCCACGTGTGCAGACACTTGAGAGCGTTGAGCGCGGCGGTTTTCAGCTGCGTCCCCGCTCCCTCCGAGTGAGCGTACAGCACGAGGTGCTTGTGTCCGGACATCTCCTCCTCCTCATCCTCCTCCCTTCCCTCCTCCTTCTCATCGGGGGACAGCGCAGCCCCTCCCCCGCGTCCGCCCCCCGCCTCCTTCGCATCATCACATGGAGCGGTCCTCCCGAAATTTCGACTGTACTTGGAAAGCATTTTCCGAGCACGACCCTCCGATGCCGTCATCGTCGTGGCAACGTCACTCGCCGGCGAGGCAGTAATGACGGCGCCTCCCGATCCCTCACCTCCGTCCGTCCTGTCCGTTCGCAGACTAGCAGCATCTGTATCTCCTCTGGCTGCGTCAGCATCTTCGCTGGCTGTGCCGGCGTCTGCATGTGCTGCGGCGGCGGCGGCGGCGGGTTTCCGCGCTGCGAGGACCAGGACGACGGCGGAGCGATGGCCGACGTCGACGACCTCCCACCGCGTCGCCCGCCCCGCGTGCCGCGCCGCGTCGTACTCCCCGACCTCCCCCAGAGTCTCCACGCCCGCCGCGCGCCCCGCGTACGCGAGAGCGCCACCGTCGACGTGGTGCACGACGCCG